AAATATGAAAAATATAAATATATAAAATATATGAAATATATAAATAAAGTACTAACCCAATCTTCTTTTTTTTTCTTACTCTTGGGTTTCGAAGTTAAAATGATTGATCTTCATCATTAATCTAACATTTATATATGTAAATTATATCCTTAAACAGTAAGTTATTACAATGGATCTCACCTTTTTCATTAAAGTCACCATAAATAACTTCAATCTGATCAGTATTTGGGACAAATAAACAATGCAGAAAAAACAAACTTAAAGCAGTTACACAAGATGCAATTGCAGCTCGAGCTTTGCGTCTTTCTGGAACAGATCCAACATAGAAGTCATCTTCTTTAGACACTGCTGAATACATGTGGCTGGACCTAGTAAAAAAAATATTATATTTAGAATACATTTATATCCAGTACATAATATAAATAAAATCAATACATAAATATAGATTTGCATGTTGGGGGAAAATAGCAAACTTTGAATAGGTCAACCTTTTTAACCAATAACTTCTGCCCATAATATTTGCAGCTCTGGGCACATTGGTCATTTGTTAGTGTTTTAGTGCAATCTACAGAAACAGCTGGCATGTCTCAAGGCCATGATTGTATGATACGACATAGCAAGTACTGCAAACTTAGTGATCTTGTTACATTGTCACAAACCACTCAACAATAAACACCTTGTACATTTAATTTGATGTGACTGTTGTGTTACATAATACATTGTAGTTTAAGCTCAGATAAGATTATTGCACAAAGTATTAGTAGGAACATTATAAGTCATTGTTAACAGAAGTTGTGTATGTTATTAAAAAAAGGTGTAATATGATAATATATGTCTAATGACCTTGTGCAACCATATATCTGCATCTGAAGGAAGAAATAATTCAAACCTAACTCCTTGCATATTTCCCCACTAAGAAATTGCCCATTCTCGAACAAAATCTACAACTCAGATGAATTAGAATAGAAAGGGCTTGTGGAATGATGAGAGAATCATTCAGTTATGATTCAATGGTGGTTACCACCATAATGATTATGTGTAGGAGATGACTGTATGTTTTTGACCTATGAAGCAAAGCTACTTCTTCATACAAATGAATAAAAAAAGTAAATAATTGGTATATTAGTTGAATCTTTTGTACTATCATTTTCAGGCTATTGTAGCAAAAAAGAACCAAGGGCATCATGATCAAACAAATTTAATAAATCAAGTCAAACTTATTAACAATATCCTCTTTGGATTTTTCAAAAAAAGGAATACTCAAGTATTATTTCAAGTATAATATGGTAACTTATTAGTAGCATTCTATGTTTTCAGTAATGATAACAGACAAGATTACAAAAAACATTTATATATCAGCATTGTGAAACAGAAATAAATAAATACAAAAATATGTTACCAACATAAACTGAACCACTCAGTATGTTATGAAAATAACAAAATAAACAGTTTAACCCCAGATGTCACTGTCATCTCTTGAGTAGTTACATCAACTTCAAGAAATGAGTTCCCAACAGTACATACATTTAATTATAAGTTCTACCTTCATGATTGACAAAAATGTTCATTACTTTTTGTACATTAAGAAAATCCTGGTGAATGAATAATCTTCACCATGAGACAATCATAGTTTCACGCAAAAAAAAAAGTAGTTCACAAGACTACTGCTTAACAATGTTGAAAAGAATGTTCAACAACAGGCCATATCAAAAGAAGATAAAAAGAGTTTTACATCCCACTATAAGTTGAATTCCTGTAATACTGTAAAAGAAAAATTAATAAAATAAAGATTATTCTTCATGGTTTATTTGTTTGTTGCTAAGCTTAAAGCTACACAATAAGCCACTGTGCTGTGTCCACCACAGGTATTAAAACCCAGTTCTTAGCATTATAAGCCTTCACACTTACCACTGAATAATACATGGTATTACTTGTGTAACTGGTACTAATGAAAAAAAAATTACTAGCAAAAACTCATTACCTAACTCGGCAGTTAAGTTTAACATACTGTAGCTCAGTATAGGTTGATGTGACTACTGTGTTACATCATACACTGTATTTTAGGCTTAGACAAAATGATTGAAAATGTACGAAACTTGTAAGTTGTCAATAGAAGTTGTTTGTGTATAATGTAGTAAGTGTACATTAATAATATATGTAATGACAGTGACACGAGATGTCTGCACCTGAAGAAACAAATAATGCTATCATAATTCATCATGCATATAAAGCTTAAACTGAATAAAGCAAAAAACAAAATATTTTACAAAATCCAAGTCTCTCATCTGCCTAAATTGGTTAATGGCAATGAGTGTCATCAATGGAGCTTTATACGACTAAGCAATGAAGATTCAATAGCTTATTTTTCTTCATTCATTTTTCTTTTTTATACACTTTATAATATTTAATTACAGAAATTTTGTCTTTTGCTTTTATCCTAGTTTTGGGAAAGACAGTTGAATGAATTGATTAAAATTAGTACTTATGTCTTTCTTATTATAGCAATAGCTACAAGTTTGAATACACAATTCAAAACTGATTTAAAGCAACAATCAAATGTACTATTAATATTTTTATATTAAATGTTAGTAATACCAACTTTTGTCCACTTGCTTATAAATTAATTAAATTAGCTTTGTTTGAAAATTATACTGTCTTACATGCATGGGGAATGTAAACAATAAACAAATAAAGAAAACAGCTAACTTGCCCAAGTCAGGCACCTAAAAATTCTCAGAGCCCTAAAATTAAATCAACCAATTATTATTTCAGATTTAATAAACCATACCACTCTAGCAATTTTCAACATTATCCATATTTCAATACTGTGTCAACTTGTACTCTGTTTCTTGTGCTGCTGTTGGTGGAAACTGGCCAATGGTATGGTTGCTACTAGAGGTATGTATTCAAAAGCCACAAAAGTTTGGTATGGAATGAGCACTAGGCCTCCCACATGAGATTATCAACACAATAAAACTAATATTATTGAAACAGACTCTGGGTATCCTAATTATTATCTATTCCATATTAGGTTTCAAATTTTAATACGAACTTCTGATCAAAGTAGGCTAACTATATACAACAAAATTAATATATGTCTAGCAATAAACATAGTTAATTAACAATAGTGTTCAAACTACACTACTTATAATGACTAAAACACAATACTTCATCAGTTAATGGTATTAATTTTCAGCTGTAAATCTAATAATCTCTCCCATGATTCAGTCAGCTAAGGAGGCTTAAATTAGTCCTAAATCCATATACTAAGCTAATAATGCAGAATAATTATAATAAATGAAAATTAATTAGGAATGATAAAAAATTAAAGAAGATATATTAAATATACTAACCAATGCTGTATCTACTTTGTGATAACATTTTCCCTTGTTTATGTATATATCCATTTATGAACTACCATTGTTAAAACAATAATATTATGTGAATGGACTATCTAATTTTATTTCTTCCTTCTCTAAAACTTTTCAAACTTTACATGATTGATATATTTTCATTTATTTATTTATTTTTGCCAAGTGCAAAGCTACACAATAGGCTATCTGCAATGTGTCCATTTCAAGAAATGACATCCCAGATTTTAGCATTACTTAAACTTGCCACTGACCCATTAGAAATTATAAAGGTATGATTGTTTTATTTTGTAAAACAAATTGATGTTATTTTAATTTCCATGTTGATTGACTTTCAATTTAGAGTGCATATATAATTTTCAAAATACTAGGTCTTTACTTTGGCTTAGTTTGCATTTTCCTACCAAATAAAATGATTTGATTGTGATTACTTGTTTCCCTTGGTTGGTTGTAATGCATTTCAGTAGCTGGGTAGTTATAGATAACACTTACCACTCCAATTGTAAACATAGCAATCAATATGTTATACAATAAAGAGAGGGAAAAAAAGTTCCCATGGTTCCGAAAAGAAAGTGACTAAAGCTTTTTTGTACAATTTGTTA